GTGTGTATGTGTGTGAGTGTGTATGTGAGAGGGAGTGTGTGAGAGAGAGTGTGTGTGAGTGAGAGAGTGTGTTTGTGGGAGTGTGTTTGTGGGAGTGTGTTTGTGTGTGAGTGAGTGTGCATGCGTACGCAAGTGTGTGAGTGTGTGTATGAGAGTGTGTGTGAGCGTGTGTGAGTGTGTGTGTGAGCGTGTGTGAGCGTTTGTGAGCGTGAGTGTGTGTGAGAGTGTGTGTGAGTGTGTGTGTGAGCGTGTGTGTGAGCGTGTGTGTGAGAGCGTGTGTGTGTGAGCGTTGTGTGTGTGAGCCGTGTGTGTGAGAGCGTGTGTGACAGTGTGTGTGAGCGTGTGTGTGTGTGAGAGCGTGTGTGTGTGTGTGAGAGCGTGTGTGAGCGTGTGTGAGCGTGTGTGTGAGAGCGTGTGTGTGAGAGCGTGTGTGTGAGAGCGTGTGTGTGAGAGCGTGTGTGTGAGAGCGTGTGTGTGAGAGCGTGTGTGTGAGTGTGTGTGAGCGTGAGAGCGTGTGTGTGAGAGCGTGTGTGTGAGAGCGTGTGTGAGAGAGTGTGTGTGTGTGAGAGCGTGTGTGTGAGAGCGTGTGTGTGAGAGCGTGTGTGTGAGAGCGTGTGTGTGAGAGCGTGTGTGTGAGAGCGTGTGTGTGAGAGCGTGTGTGTGTGTGAGAGCGTGTGTGTGTGTGAGAGCGTGTGTGTGTGTGAGAGCGTGTGTGTGTGTGAGAGCGTGTGTGTGTGTGAGAGCGTGTGTGTGTGTGAGAGCGTGTGTGTGTGTGAGAGCGTGTGTGTGTGTGAGAGCGTGTGTGTGTGTGAGAGCGTGTGTGTGTGTGAGAGCGTGTGTGTGTGTGAGAGCGTGTGTGTGTGTGAGAGCGTGTGTGTGTGTGAGAGCGTGTGTGTGTGTGAGAGCGTGTGTGTGTGTGAGAGCGTGTGTGTGTGTGAGAGCGTGTGTAGGTGTGTGAGAGCGTGTGTGTGTGAGAGCGTGTGTGTGAGAGCGTGTGTGTGAGAGCGTGTGTGTGTGAGCGCGTGTGTGAGAGCGTGTGTGTGTGTGACAGCGTGTGTGTGTGTGAGAGCGTGTGTGTGTGTGAGAGCGTGTGTGTGTGTGAGAGCGTGTGTGTGTGTGAGAGCGTGTGTGTGTGTGAGAGCGTGTGTGAGAGCGTGTGTGAGCGTGTGTGTGAGAGCGTGTGTGTGTGAGCGTGTGTGTGAGAGCGTGTGTGTGAGAGCGTGTGTGTGAGTGTGTGTGAGCGTGAGAGCGTGTGTGTGAGAGCGTGTGTGTGAGAGCGTGTGTGTGAGAGCGTGTGTGTGAGAGCGTGTGTGTGAGAGCGTGTGTGTGAGAGCGTGTGTGTGAGAGCGTGTGTGAGAGCGTGTGTGAGAGCGCGTGTGTGAGAGCGCGTGTGTGAGAGCGTGTGTGTGAGAGCGCGTGTGTGAGAGCGTGTGTGTGAGAGCGTGTGTGTGAGAGCATGTGTGAGTGTGTGTGTGAGAGCGTGTGTGAGAGCGTGTGTGTGAGAGCGTGTGTGAGTGTGTGTGTGAGAGCGTGTGTGAGAGCGTGTGTGTGAGCGTGTGTGTGAGCGTGTGTGTGAGAGCGTGTGAGAGTGTGTGTGTGAGAGTGTGTGTGTGAGAGCGTGTGTGTGAGAGCGTGTGTGTGAGAGCGTGTGTGTGAGAGCGTGTGTGTGAGAGCGTGTGTGTGAGAGCGTGTGTGTGTGTGAGCGCGTGTGTGTGAGAGCGTGTGTGTGAGAGCGTGTGTGTGAGAGCGTGTGTGTGAGAGCGTGTGTGTGAGAGCGTGTGTGTGAGAGCGTGTGTGAGTGTGTGTGTGAGAGCGTGTGTGAGTGTGTGTGTGAGAGCGTGTGAGAGCGTGTGTGAGTGTGTGTGTGAGAGCGTGTGTGAGTGTGTGTGAGAGTGTGAGTGCTGAGAGTTGAGGGAAGGGGGAAATCCCTGTCGGCCCCCAGTGGGTGGAAGGATCCCCTGTTTTTTATAATCTCTGCCGGTGGGGAAGCTCTGCTCTTCCCTCAGCTCAGCCGTCCATTTTTGTTTGCTTTGTTTGCTCCTCTTTCTCTCTCTTGTACAATGATAGAAAATAGTACTCTAACTGCCATACCTTTGCTTATACCAAAGTTGGAGGTATTCCACATTCTGCTGAAAGAGTGATAAAACAATAATATTCGAAAATAAACCCAATATTTCACTCTTGCCACTCAAGATTTGACCCCCTAGATTTGCGTTCCAGTCTTAGGTGAGAGTGCTTGACTCTCTGATGCTTTAAACACTGGTGTAGTACTTTAAATAACCCCCCCACCCATGCATGACTTCTAAGTTCCAGTAGATCCTGCACTGATCTGTGAATCTTGTCTTTTTAAAATGAAAATGTTCACTATTTAAGGATCTAACCTGTAAATTAAATTTCATTTGAATTTAGACTAACAATTTGCCAACAGCGGAGTGAGCCTACGTGGGTACATGATGGATGCAGTTTAAGTTTGAGTTACCAAGCTGCTGCTTTTGTATGTCACAACGATAAGATATCTTTGCATCTTTAAAATTGTCTTGAGTTCACAATTGCTGAATTTAAGCTAATTATTGAGCTGCACTATTGAGATGCAAATTATTGGTGTAAAGATTATTTTAGGTGCATTTTTCAAAATATTCTGCTGAACATCATGAATGTAAGATACTAGGGTTTGATAAAATATTGTATATAATTGAAACTTCATTTAGCATTTAAGATCTACCAAACCTTGGTGTGTGATTTTTTTTAAGAAGGCACAAATTGCAGATGACATTAATGGGTACATCCTTTCACAATGTTTATACATTCAATTTTCATGCCAAGGCCTATTTGCCAGATGTCACAGCATGACAACCATCAAGTGTGCATCTTTTCATGTTTTACTACATTCTTGAGACATATTGTAGTGTGGTCACAGACACAAACTGTTTGTGCCTGCAAAATCAATCATCTACCTTAAAGAGCAAACTTATCTTTTGAGTGAATGAAATTTAAACGAGTTTTACTTGACCAGTAAAGTGAAAACAGATTAAGATCCCTTACTTTTAACAAAATATGCATTTATTCTTTGAAATAAATGCCTTGGGACTCCCCAGCACTTTGGGACATCCTCCCGACATGAAAGGCGCTTTACAAATGTAATTTTGTTATTGAAATAAATTTGACTTTTCTTTCTCTGATTGTTCCAGGTCCAATAAATCATATGCTGCTCCATACGGTAATGTGTTCACGCACCATGTGTGAAGATATTGACTAATTAGCTTATGATGAGATTTCTTTTGAAGTGCAACTGATACTGCCTTGAAGCTTCCATGAGTCTGAAGCAAAAATGGTGACTTTCAAGCTTTGCCATGTAAATCTCCTATGGTTGAATTCTGTACAAGTTTCCATTTTGTTCTCTCTTAATGGGTCCCAAAGCTTCAAGGTTTAATTTGATTGCACATTGAAAGCTTTGAAACTGAAAAAGACATCTTTGAAGTTTGATGTAATACATTTTATTATTAGTTTCAAAAAGGTATGTTGAAAATTGTCCCTTAGCTTGTGGATAATATCAAATTTTCCACATACATTGTGAACTTGGTAACTGAGTTATTAACGTATTGCACAGATTTGTATGTTAGGCTTATTCTTCATGTCCGTAATGATATTTATTCATATCGTAAAAACATGAATATTCATAATAATGACATTTTCTAAATTTAAAAACTGCCCTGAAACTGTTTTTCTATTCAATGAGGAATGTAGTCGAAATAACCAGTTTGCAACTGGTTTTCAAGGCAATGGATGCTTAAAAATAAAAAGTGAACAATTAGAGTAGGGGAAGCACAAATAACCAATTCAAAAATAATCCAATTTATTCATTGTTAGCATTCATTGCTAGTTTGTTATATAGTACTTGAGCTAACCTATTGCGCAGAAGCTAGATGTAATAAAGATAATTATTTAATTCAGGTAAATTAAATGCAACAGATGTTTAAATAAAAAACTACATTGAGGGTAATCAAATAATTTGATTTTTGACTCTGGATAAGCTTGCAGTCATTATCAATATTATGTGATTGATTGCACGGCAGTGAACCACTATGTTGTTGGCCACAGGTGTTGACACAAAAACAGCAAACTGACCTGGCTAATGTAGATGTGGCTATGTCAAAGCTTTAATGCTGTATTTAGGGTTAAGGTGCACGTGACCATAGATATCAACAACAACAAACCATTTATATAGCAACTTTCATGTCAGGAGGCCATCCCAAGGCATGGACAGGATTGCGCTTGAGCTGAGGTGGAATCAAGAGGTGGACAGCAGGGTGGGTGGAAGGATGATTGAATGCATGGTCAAAGAGGAAAGTTTTAAGATGAGCCTTGAATAAGGCAAGGGAGAGGGTGAAGTGCAGCGACTCCAGGACGGAGTTCCAGAGCACAGGGGCAGAAAGGCTGACGGCCCAATTGCCAATGGTGGGATGGGCAGGGGATGTGGAGCAGACCAGTGCCCCTTGAGCAGTGGGAGCGACAAATTGGGCAGGTTTCAGATGTAGGGAGGGACAAGTCCGAGGGTGGCTTTACAAGTGAGGACAAGAATCTCAAACTCGATCCTCTGGGGTACGGGGAGCCAGTGAAGCCACCTTTGGTTCTTGCCAGCACCTTTGTTCTCCTGGCTCTGATTCCTTCAACCTGGATGCTTATTCTGACGGAACCAGTTGACGTGTAACCTGTTTGACCCTGAGCTGGGTTTCAAGTCCCACATCCCTTGGTCAGTTGACCAGATTGCTTTCTTGCAACTCTGGAATAGCCTGTTTACATCCTTATCTACCTCCCCTTTTCTGGGTGAGGCCATTTTCGTTGGTCTAAACTCTAGGAATTAAAAGCTTAAGCTTATTCAGAACTTAAGCACTCTCACCTAGGACCGGAATGCAAATCTAGGTAGTTCAAATCTTGAGTGGCAAGTGTGAAATATTTGGTTTATTTTTGAATATTATTGTTTTATCACTCTTTCAGCAGAATGTGGAATATCTCCAACTTTGGTATAAGCAAAGGTATGGTAGTTAGAGTACTATTTTCTATCATTGTACCAGTAATTTTCAACTGATATTTATGCCATGGAATTTTACAGCAGGATTGTACAACAATTGTGATGAAAACATCGCAGTATCTACGATTAGGTAACTGAAATTTAGGCAAGCTCAGAATTTGTTGCATCCTAAAACTAATCCGATGTCCTGAATTGTGAAGTGTTTACTGCTTGATGATCGATGAGTAAACTTATCATTTTATGTTTTCCTGCCGCTCTATCAAATGGAGGAGTGACCAAAGTGAAGGGAGAAATATTGAATTGTCACTAAAAACAGAAGGCTGCAGTCTATGTATGTTATCAATCGCACAATGTAGTTCTAGTACGTATGAAGAGTTACAGTTATGCGTTATAGTCGCCCACTAGGCTCTGCGACCCTATCACCCCCATCCTTGCCCAACTCCACTGGCTTCCCATCACACAGAGGATACAGTTCAAGATCCTGGTCTTCACCTTCAAAGCCCTCCACGATCTTGTTCCCCCCTACCTCTCCGACCTCCTAACCGCCTACCATCCTGTTCGCTCCCTCTGCTTAGCGGGCTCCGACCTGCTTCGCGTCACTCGCTTGGTTGGCCCCACTATTTGAGGGTGGGCTTTCCGCCACTCTGCCCCCACACTCTGGAACTCCATTCCGCAGTCCATCTGGTTCACCCCTTCCCTTGCTGCTTTCAAGACCCATCTCAAGACCCTCCACTTCGACCGTGCTTTCGATCTCCCTGCTTCCCCCCCCTGCCCTCCACCCACCCCGACCCCCAGCTCGGGTCCGTACCTCTGTCTGTCCAGCATCTTGGGACATCCTCCCGACGTGAAAGACGCTTTACAAATGTAATTTTGTGGTTCGATTTCGATAAAAATTCTGAAAACTGAATCTGTAAAAGTGTTGATGTAATAGAGATGACTATCTGTAAGGTCTTAGTGGATTCTTTAAAATTTATTTTTAGTAGTTTCTAATCCAACTTGATTCATTTGGAAATATTACGGTATAATTCAATTTGAAGTGTCTTCATGGCTGTTGCTTTGCTTTGCCCCCCCCCCCCCCCCCCCCCCCGCTTTCATTTTGTTTGGTTTTTCAAGGAGCTGACTTTCACAATCTTAACACACTACAGGGGATCCCTGTTTTAGCGCCTTTCGCTTTTAATGTGGGTCTACTGTGGAAGCATGTTCCACTGAATATGGATTATTTTGTACTTTGGAATCCTAAATACATATTGTTGGTTTATAGATTGTTTTATCTTTTTTCTTCACAGCTATGATAAATGCGCCTAAAATATTTCATTCAGGTAGCAAAATCCATTTAGGCTGGGCTACCGTTTCTTCACAACATTTAAAAGCCTGTTCTCTTAATGATAATTGCATGATAAAGCTTATATGATTCAGTTACTTTGCTGGTACTAGTTTGACACAAGTACCTACTTCAGAGCAAAATGAACTCAAACCACTGACTTGTGTTGTCAACTTTGTACTGCTCTATCCTTGGGCAAAATGGAACAAATGCAAGGGTTATTATATATATATTATATATAGTACTTGTATGTAATTAAAGAATGCCATTTAAAGCCTGTGAATAGTTTAATAAATAGCTGACTGTTCTGATGGCTCTTTAATGATAATAATATAACAATAATCCTTGCATTTGATATAGTGCATTTCACGTCTTCCAGATAATAATAATCCTCGCATTTGATATAGCGCTTTTCACGTCGGGAGGACGTCTCAAAGCGCTTCACAGACTATGCTGTAAAGTGAATTGACCGTATATTTGTGGGCGAAACATGGCAGCCAATTGTGCACAGCGATGTCCCACAAACAGTCATGGATTGAAAATGACCAATTTATTATTTTTTTTGTTTTGGAGGGATTATTATTAGGAGTGTGGAGTAAGGAAACTTGCCTAAGGTTTCACCCTGCCTGGAATTGCCCAGGTCTCTCGCTTGCCAGGCAAGTGCTCTAACCACTGAGCTACAGGACTCCATGAGGCTTACCTTTATGAGGTTTACAAACCTATAGATGTTCAAATGGACATTTGAGGGTATTTAAACATTAATATTCACATTTAAGAAGCCTGCTGTACTCCCCAATTGCAGCTTTAACAGTGTTGCTATTTTTCCACAGAATTGAACAAGTTTTTACTGGCATCTAATGGATTTTCAAGTACAAGCCAAAATATCGGGATGGACCCTGCGCATGCATGTTGCATTCTGCAGCAGCTTAAATGTATGTACGATGATGGGCAGCTGACAGACATTGTGGTGGAGGTAGATCATGGAAAAACATTCTCCTGTCACCGAAATGTACTCGCTGCAATTAGTCCTTACTTTAGGTATGCTTTTGCTCTTTTGGTAGCTATTTGCATACTAATATTACAAAACATCTTAATACAAATTAAACTTGGGTTTAGGACAGATCTACGGGCTAGGTGCAAGACAGCACACCAATTAATCTCTTAATCAGAACTGAATTGGACGACGTCCTGTCGTGAAAGGCGTGAATCAAATGTAATTTGTTGTTATTGAATTGTTATTGCTTCAAAGCTTCAAGTGTTTTCTTTTATCCCGAATTTGGAAGTGCAGTATTCTACAACATTCTGAAAATGTAAAAACATTGAGCTATATTAATAGTCTTATTAATAAAGACTATCCTGGAATTTTAGGATGATTTAATTTGATAGAACAAGGCATTCTTTGAATAGTAGTTTGAGTTTCATTATATTGGAATACTGAATTATCAGTAAGTCACATTACCATTGCTTAAATTGTCAATTATTATTTGATTTTCTATTTTTTTCTATGGATATAAATACTATACGTAATATGAAACGATTGTTTGGCAAAAGCATATTTGAGAGTCATAGAAAATTAGTTTTGTATCGGTTAAACTGATTCACTTTTTTGGTTGCTAGGTCTATGTTCACAAGTGGCCTTACAGAGAGTACCCAGAAAGAAGTGCGGATTGTGGGAGTAGAAGAAGATGCAATGCGTCTTGTGTTGGACTATGCATATACATCTAGGATTTACTTAACGGAAGTCAATGTGCAGGCTCTGTTCACTTCTGCTAGCCTCTTCCAGATCCCATCCTTGCAGGACCAGTGTGCTCAGTTTATGATCAGCCGGTTGGACCCACAAAACTCCATTGGAGTTTTCATGTTTGCTGATGCTTATGGACACCAGGAATTGAAGGAGAAATCACAGGACTATATAAGAAAAAAGTTTTTGAGTGTCGCCAAAGAGCAGGAATTTCTCCATTTGACTAAAGACCAGCTTATGAGCATTCTAAACAGCGATGACCTAAATGTGGAGAAGGAAGAATGTGTTTATGAAAGCATAATTCATTGGCTCGAGCATAACCCGGACAAAAGGGAACCACATCTTGCAGATATTTTTGCCAAATGTATACGTATACCTCTCATGGAGGAGACCTTTTTAGAGAAAATCCCTTGCACTTTTGCACAGGCTATGTCTACAAACTCTTTAAAGGAAGAAAGCGAAAAGGCCAACGGCTGTAGACCAAGGCTTGGCATGACAGCTTCACAGATGATCATCTGCTTTGAGGCGGCCAACAAACACTCAGGAAAGAAACAAACGGTGCCTTGTTTAGATACTGTCACAGGAGAAGTGTTCAAATTATGCAAGCCTCCCAATGATTTGAGGGAGGTGGGGATCCTGGTGTCACCTGATAATGACATTTACATTGCAGGAGGTTACCGGCCAAGTAACAGTGACGTATCTATCGATCACAAAGCTGAGAGCGATTTCTGGATGTATGATCACGCGTCAAACAGATGGTTGCCTCGAGCTCCATTGCTAAGAGCACGAATAGGGTGCAAATTGGTTTTTTGTTGTAATAAAATTTATGCAGTTGGAGGTCGGGTGTATGAAGGTGATGGGAGGAATGCACTAAAATCAGTGGAATGCTATGATGGCAGGGACAATTGCTGGACAGCTGTCTGTCCAATGCCTGTTGCCATGGAATTTCACACTGCTGTAGAGTATCAAGATAATATCTATGTGTTACAAGGTAAGTTTTATAAGTCTCCAGTTTATTCATTCTTGTATTAAGGTGCAGTGAACATGTTGTGTACATTTTCACAATTCTACATAATTTAGATGATAACTCCTTTTACTTTCCCCATTTAAAGGGAAAGAACGTTGCAGGGAATAATTTTAATCTTGCTCCCTCCAGATTTTATAGTATCAAAAACGCTGCTACCACATAGAAGAAATGTTATCCTGCTTCCTCGTGGTTCATATAGCAGGACGCTAGCAGCCAAGTAACAGTTGTGTATCTGTAGATCACATCAAAAGATTAAAGTATAAATGGGCTGCAGCAAAACACATCCTGGAACAAAATGGATGCTATTTTTAAATGTCTTAATGACTCGTACAAGAAGAGTATTTAACAATGCAAACACTGGTCTACTGTAAGCAATGGGGAATTGTATTGGGCAATATTTCAATAACGAAGTTCTAAATACTTGTTTGCCCTGGCATTCTTCAAAGGTAAAATCGTTCTCATTGTCAAATATCTGAATATTAATTCTTAATTTGCTCACATTTTGTGGGAACTCCATGTTCTACTTGTGTTGATCATTCTGATCCTGCGACAAAGTAACAACCTTCCATACTTCCACACTGCCTTAACTGGTTTTGCTAGTGATTTACAGCAAAAGTCACGCTGGCCTCCATGTCAAATGTAGTGTGTGGTTCATATTCTGAAGAAAACTGAATCCAATTATCAGTGGTTGAGTCCAACAAACAGCCAATTATAAAGCAATTGAAATTGGCAGTCTCATTTACTGACCAACATTATTGCATTTCGAAGAGAACAGTTGGGGGAGGGTGTTTATGATGAGTCAATAGGGTTATTCTTAGGTTGGATTTATAATCTTTAATTTTAACACTGGTTACAAAGAGCAGCAAAAAATGAATTTCTCCATTCCTTACGTAAGCCCCAAATTGTACAGTTATTTTGGCTGTTTGCTAAAATTAATATTTCTGACATGTCCGGTATGTATGTTATACCCAGTCCAATTTGAAATCTGGCTAATTCTGAAAACCATTGTTTTAATTAGTATTTCTCCATGTACTGACCTATTCCACACCTCTTCCATGTGGCACAAAGCAGCAGTTCCACACTTACGTAATGATTTTGCAGTACTCAGTAAGTAAATAAAGTATTTCACTAATCTTTATTAAAAGTATATGTCATTGGGAATAAATAGTGATTTAATCTGCTGCTAAGAAACTGCTAACTATTGCCTCTCATTAGGATGAGTTATTTAATTCATCTTTCTCTGACTAAAAAACATTGCAGAAAGTTAAGAGGGGAATCCAGTTTATTTTTATTTTTACAAAATCATTTTTTTGATGAAATAGAAAGAGACTAACTCAACGAATCACATTGATTCTGGTGCAATTTGAGCAAGAATGCTGCGTCAGTATGAAACAAAGTGCACAGTGCAGTCATAGAACTACTATACTAAAAGTACTGGGACATTCTGTACACATTGCCATTTATGTGTCACTTACTGACCAACGTTTTGGCAAAACAGATGCCCTCCATTGGAGTGAACCTGAAGTGTAAAGCTAGTTAACAAAAATAATAATGATGATAATCCTTGCATTTGATATATAGCATAGTGCCTTATCATGTCGTTGATGTAAACTGCTGAATTTTTAACATCTGTTTGGCATAGCAGAGAATTATAGCTAAGAATATAAGTGTTCCACTGATTCTACTTTTGTTACACCTTCATAGCTAATACAGTTAAATACAGCAGTTTACATGTACTACCACCAATGTAGTATACTGTATCCGCTGCTCACGGTGTGGTCTCTATGTTGGGGAGACTAAGTGCCGATTGGGTGACCGATTTGCAGAACACCCCCGTTCTGTATGCAAGGTCAACCCTGATCTTCTGGTCTCCTGCCATTTTAACTCACACTCCCATTCGCAGTCTGACCTCTCCATCTTACATCTCCTACGCTGTTTCAATGATCCACAGCGAAAGCTTGAGGAACAGCATCTTATCTACCTGCTAGGGACCCTACAGTCCTATCTACCTGCTAGGGACCCTACAGCTTGAGGAACAGCATCTTATCTACCTGCTAGGGACCCTATCGATTTCAGCCACTTCAGACCATAACAGCTCACCTTCCCCCCTCCCCCTCTTTCTGTTACCATAAAAATCTCTCCCTTCCAACATGCCCCAGTTCTGACGAAGGGTCATGGACCTGAAATATTGATTCACTTTCCTTTCTCCATAGATGCTGCCTGAGCTGCTGAGTTCCCAGCTCTCTCTGAGGTGTTTTTGTTTCAGATTTCCAGCACCTGCAGTATTTTGTGTTTTGTTACTGCAATTTTTTTGTTGCTTTGCAAAACTCGGTTAAATATGTTGTTAAATGCCAACTAAAGATTTTCATCCAGTTAAGACAAAGTCATATTACCCTTTTCTGTGTTTAGGAGAATTCTTCTTGTGCTACAACCCTCACAAAGACTATTGGGGCTGTCTGACTCCAATGAATGTGCCTAGATCCCAGGGACTATCAACTGTCTACAAAGACTCCATCTACAACATAGCTGGAACGTGTAAAGCACATCAACGAATGCTAACAGTAGAGACGTATGATATCCAACAAAATTCTTGGCTGCGGAAAAACGAACTTCCACTGGATCAGTCCACAAATCCCTACATTAAACTGTGTTTGCTCCATAACAAATTGCACCTTTTTGTGCGAGCAACACAAGTAGTAGTAGAGGAGCATGTTTTCCGTACAAGCCGTAAGAACTCTCTATACCAATATGACGAAGACTCTGATCAGTGGAAGAAAGTGTATGAGTCGCCAGACAAACTATGGGATCTTGGCCGCCATTTTGAATGTGTTGTTGCCAAACTATATCCACAGTGTCTTCAGAAAGTGTTTTGATGTTTTGCTTTGGCAATTTGCATGAATTAACTGTGAGATGAGCAACCAGTATTTTGTGCAAACAAAATTGCTCTTTTAAAAGCACTATAAAGAAACAGGATGGGTGCTTTTGAAAGTGTTTGAACTGGGTCCGAAGTTTAGTTTTATAATCACAATTTTACTAACCCTTTTTATTGGTGCTGGGGAATATAAGTGCAATTATCTACATGGATTATAGCTTACGTTTTGATTTTTATGTGGCTCATTCAATGCCATTTCTTGTTGGGAATTCTAGTGTAGCTGTTGCCCATTGCCTGGCAAATCTTAAAACTATGCAGACAAACAGGAAAAACTTGCAGCTTAGCAGTAAGAAGTTGCTTCGCCCAATGAGCCAGTTTAGAAAAACTAAAGCCTTTAATGAGACATACGGGTATAAATTTAAGTAACATGCTGTTCATTTTGAAGTGCTTATTTGGGAAATGTTTTTGCTTTTACACCTGTAGCTACCTGGCTCAAATGTGAAGGTATCTGGTGCTAGCCTTGATCTGTGGTGGCTGGATTTTAATTAATCAATGATTTAGCAGGCAAGTCTTGACAAGTTTAAATGTTAAATTGGGGATCAAGCCTTAGAATTTGTACACTGCATAAAAAGGCAAAGTTAGGTAAACCTGTTATTTCACTTTGCTCCTTTATCATTCAAAACCAACCTAGTGAAACCACTATTACTTTCAATTTTAACTGCACATCTGCAAGCCCGAGAGTGCAATTAACAAGTTTCAAAACCATTTAGTAATGCATAGGAGAGAATTGTCTTCAGTAAATATTGTGGTCAGGTCTTAGGCATTCAGTAAAACTAGCATTTTACTAATGGACCCCACCCCCACCATAACCTTTGTGTTCCACTACATAATGTCTCAGAAAAAGTTAACTTGAATAGGTTGAAATTGCTATGACGCTGAGCTTTGCAGTGTAACTGGGAATGAAATGGATCTCCTGTGCAAAAATGTTTTTTTTTTTACTTGAATGTCTTTGTATAACCACTATTATATAAATTGAAAACCATGAACTATTACCTTCCTGCTAAATAGAAGTGAAGTGGTTCACATTCCTGGATTTATATACCAAAAGTCCCTAATTAGTTGCACTGCTCGCTGTATTCAGGTGGACATCCAGTGCACATGAATTGTAAACTGAGTGAACCAGGTATAACTAAGGCAACTCCACTAATATGTCTTCAATATTGCTGTATATAGTCGAGATACATATTGTGTCTTGATGCAATTGAGCAGTGCTTTGGAAACAGCTAAATGCCATGCTATTTGAAGTAAGTGGAGACAGATCAAGGGACTTGTTGATCAACTAAGTTGGTTAACAAAATAAGTTTTTTTAATTAATCAATTTCCCTTTCTTGGCTTCTTAACTCCCAGTGTCATGTGATTTCTGTATATGGCTTGACACCAACACTTTCTTTTTTAAAAACAATACCATCCCAATGCCTGAATAGGAAAAGACCACTTTATATAGCAAAAGACCATGCAAGCCAGACTGATTCAGGTTTGAATCTTGTTATGCTTCACTTAACTGGGACATTGATTATCCTGCTGTACAGCTAGCATCAACGATGATATGCTGGGGAGGGGAAGATCAACCAGATTTTGAAGTACTTATCTCTATCCAGATTTCCCTACTGGAAGGTACATGGCTGGACATTGAAAGAGGATAGCGTTATGCCTGTTGTGCCCTCATTCCTCCCCCGACAAGTCAGTATGTCCCCGTCGACATTCACTTGAATTGATATTGTTGAGAGAAGACTAACCTGCTACTGAGCATAACTCATGAACAAAACTGCTTTCAATGTACTGAGAAAAGCTACCTAGTTTAGATCCAGCCCACACCAAAACCGTTGTATTACGGTTTGATTACATTCAATCGTAAAAACAAGACATTTTAAAGCACCAATATTTCTAAACTATTCCTCAAAATCTCAAACTATTATAAAAATACTAGACCTTTTCTTAACAATTTAAAAGCTGCGCAACACCACTAGGCAAACTTCAGAAGCGCAAGGAGGTTTTGAAATAACAAATACAGGTATCCGACATCAAATTATTTGCATGCACTAGATGGCACTAAAATGTCTTATTAGTAAAATCTTGAATTTACATTGCAATTGCAAGCTGTAAAAATACAATTACAATTCTGTTAAAAATTTCAGTATGTCTATAGCTGGATAAAAATTAACAATTGCCCCATAGTCTCAACTATATTACCCATTGGACAGGACTTTGACCTTAGCTAAAACATGGTCTATCTTCATTTTATAACTCTAGAAGTGACTTACACTGATTTGAGTTGTCAGACGTCTTCAATCACTATTGAGTATCATACACAACTTGCCACTTAACCTTTTCATATAGAGAATGTTATACCTTGACAAAGTGTGTAAGATGGAACATTTCTTCGTTATAACTTTTATTGTGATGTACTTCTGAGAGCTTTTACTGTACCATGTAAGAAATCCTAAATGTATTTATCTGAAAGTATTTCAGGGGGGCAAATCTGCAAGTTTTGAAATAACAGTAACAAACAATCTATTCAACAATTCTTTCCTTCTGATTGTAGAAATTGCAGAATATTGAGCACTGATTTGTCTTAAATCTGAAGAAACACCATGTGCAGGGTTTAAATACAATCTTAAATTCCTTTATTCATAAATATTAACCTGATTGATGCAAGTTATCCAATTGCCAAATTTACTTAGGTATCTACAGTACTGAAAGGACTAGGTAAGTCACAAAATCAATGTAGCTGTTCCAAAAGTTGATCAAGCTGAATAAATTCTTAACGTTTATATGTACCACAGTTCTGTCCCCATTTAATCCTTCTCTTGACATGATCCTTCAAATTGATGCAATGTTTTCACCATCCTTATGGAGGTGTAGTAGATATTACTGAATCTTTCAAGGATGATTTTTTTGCAATGTGTAAACAGCTCAGAATTTAGGATGACTTGGTGGGTGTCGCTTCACCTTTTTCCAGAAGTTGGATACTGAAATGGTGGTGGATAATTTATGAGATATCTCAAGTGTCTTTTTCACACATTAAAAAGCTATTCTCCCTAAAGACTGGGTGCCACAATGTGTTAATGTACTATCTTTCATCTCTGTCATCTGGATCTCCATCCAGCTCAAGTTATTGGGATGAAGGATTACTCTGTCTTGGCAGTTGTAAGTGATGAGGGGGACATGTTTTTCCCTGGCTTCTCAGTTTTATGTGAACTAAGTTTGAAAAGTCTCCCAATTTCTATTGGATAAATCCCATAAACGGAATTGAACTCAGATCTAAATTGACATCATGACTCGGGCCATAAGCACAGACGATTTGGGAAGGGAAACGTTCACATTGCCTCATTGGTGGGGTTGCTCTGCTGACCACTGAGTTAAATCAGTTTGACCATCGAGAGGAAGTAGTTTAGTTTTTGTGGCAGTGCCTCATCACATCTGAATGCTTCATAGTAACCCTGGGTACTGAGTGGGAAAGTAACTCTGGGTTGAAATAACTGAAAATGAAGGCATCCAGTGTTGAGTGTAACAAATTATTATACTGGTAAGAGAGCCACTAGGCAATAGAATGAATTCAGCCTTTTGTTATACATTTGTTTGTTGCTGCTGCAAACTGTAACACAGAACCTCAATTGTCATTCACAAGCATAGTCTTACTTTACGTATGTTGTACGAGTTTAAGAGGATGATCTAATTCAATACATCAGCTACCCTGAATTTATTGCCGTAGATATTGTGTATATTTTTTCAGTCTGCTAACTAAGCAAGTTTTGTTTTAATATTTCAAGATATATCTAGTACATTTCAAGGCTTTTTTTCAGGTATTGACTTTTTATTATGAAACATAGAATTATTAACACCTTTTTTGAGTGGGATGGGGTTGTGCTGTCCATGGACTGACTTAGTGGGAAGGGGAAATCGATGAAATAAATAATTCCCTAAACGTTCTACAGAAAATAATGTGGCAGCTAGGTTTAGTAATTAAATGACCTAATGCTGCTGTTAGAGTTTTGTTCAGAAAAGTGGGTGCCTTGAATATTGTTAGCATATTGTGCATTACATAGGGTTACAAGCAATAATGAAGGTCCAGATAAATGGGTAGAGTAATAATTTACACATAGCAATGTTTACAGGTTTATCATAGCATTTAATAGATATATCTTTTGAGTATAACTCTTTGGTTAGTTATAATTGCAGAAAATGGACAGTGCAACCCTCAGATTCCCGGATTATATTTCAAACTATGATTTTTATGGTTCAGGAAGATTCATATAGTTTTCATCATGGAGTATTGAGCCAAATCTGTTGTACAGTAGTTAAAAAATACAGCTTTGCGACAGCAAACTTTTTTCAGCATCCTTCCAGATATAGTAGTGCATTAAATAATTGGAGAAGACTATACCATGGAAGAGTATAATGTTTAATTTCCACATTTGTTTTTTGTTGAACAATGTTGCTGCTGGTTAGGACAATCCCATGTATTTATAGTAGATATGGTTCATGATAGAATGGAATTGAAATTAGCTTGAAAAGTTAATTTTAAAGACTAGCATGCATTGGTTTGGCAATTGAGTTTTCGAATTGCTCCATGTGATCGTCAACCCATCTAACTTGTATAAAGTCTATCTTCTGATTTTCATGCGATGGTTGTGTATTTCTGTGGACAAATTTGTAGAATTATAGATGTATTTGCACTGTAAAGTTGCTAAATATTGTTTTTGTTTTTCTTTGCTTCAGCTCTCAAAGCTACTCATTCCACTGTGCAGAAATTTAGCTGTAGTTATCAGATTTGATGTGACTTGAAATGTATGTTCAGGTTTATATATATATTATATATATATCACTTGAAAAATTTTACATGTTGAGAAAAAGATGTAAAATGACATCTAGCTGTACTTGCACATGTTTGAGTTGTTGTATGCTTCAGATTGATGTTTGGATGGGATAAGCTGGTTTACTTGATACATGACATCTTTGGAGTTCTGTGTGACTTTGTGGTATTGCAATGAAACTATATTCTTGAAATAAATGAACTTAGAGATGGATTGGTCAATTTAATTTTGTCTGAATGAGTGCAGCGCATCGGTTTCATATAGAGTGATCATATTAATGACCCACTGATGGTCATTCATTTGTTGTTTCACATCCTTCAGACCAGGAGAGCTAAGCTTTGTATCATCAATGATGGTAATCACAAGCTCTGTAGACTTGAAAATATTGTTGGGGACACTGTCCAGATTTTTTTTTTTTTAAATTATATAAGGTACAGGCCCCGGAGGTAGCTTGTGGAGTCCTGTAGCTTAGTGGTTAGAGCACTCGCCTCGCAAGTGAGAGACCTGGGTTTGATTCCCGGCAGGGCAAACGTTGGTCAAGTTTCCTCACTCCACACACCTGTTTACCTAGCAGTAAGTAGAAACAAGGTTGTTAATCAATAGGCAGATCGCATTTCTGGGGGTAATAATTCCTTTAAAATAATTAAAAGTAATTTGGTCAATCCACGGCTGGTTGTGGGACTCTGTTTGAGCAATTGGCTGCCGCATTTCGCTCACAAAATATGCAGTCAATTCCCTTTGCAGTATATTCTGTGAAGCACTTTGAGACGTGTCAAAGACATGATAAGGCGTTATATCAAATGTAAGGATTATTTATTATTCTTATAGTCCACCTCACTAGTGGTTTCACATTTTCTGCCAGTTTTCTGTTAACCACGTAGTTTTGTGAGAGTTCTTCCATCTCCAGACTGGATCATGCAAGCCAAGAGGAGAAAGGCTGGAGGAATGTTAAAGGTGTGTCAAATTTAATTAAGATAGTGTTAAGTACTTATTTGAGAAGTTAGCGGTTAATATTTGCAGTGTTAAATATCTTTATTACTCTAATATTTCATTTCGCAACAGGATAGCTAAAACCATATAAAATAGAAATGTTCCTTGATATGCCAGTACATTGAGTTAACTCGATTTAACCCGCCCTTAACTGGTTAGATTGGGATTTTCATTCTGCTAGCAGCAAGCCTTTATGACTATTAATCTATCAGGATGCAATATGGACCAAAACAAGTTGCTGACACAATCATAACTACCAACTTGGTTGTCAAACTACTGTTGAACATCAGGAGAATTGAACAAGGTAAATCATAAAAGGCAGCAGTCGCGGTAACATTGGACTCCCATTATTCAACTTTGTCAGAGATGCAAGGAGCCATTGGTATACGTGGGAAAAAAATATATATTTTAAAATTACATTTGAAAACATTTTATCAGATTACGGCATTTGAAAGAAAAAGTATTCTGATGATCAGTTGTAACCCAAAAATGTGCCACAGTGAATGGAGCCTTCAGCTTGTTTAATGTACAGAGCATTGTAAATGCCACAACTGACAGGGATGGTCATCACTGTGCCAATTCCGATTGAAGCAGCTCTGCTCTGGAACAGACCTTATCATAGAAACACATCATATGAGATAATAAGTCAAATAAAAACCCATTCTGTATTACAGCGTTGTGCCAGCATGTATTAATGAGTTCCTTATAGGTAACACATCTTTAGAGATGGGAATAAAATCTCTAGGAACAATTTGCAATATGTTCCAACACTTGCTGCAGTGTAATTTAAACAGAAAATGTGAAATTAAGCTTCTCAAATATCTATGTATCAGACAACTGCATCTTAGAAACATTGGAAGAAAGGATTGGAATTCTAGACTTTGAACCAGGTCAGAAATCTGTCTATCAACAAAATATGTTTTCAGAAACTAGAAATTGTATTTTTCTTACCATAGTAAAATTATGGATTTGGTAATGTTTTTGTGAGAGCAAATCAATAAAAACAATCCCCCAAATAATTTGGTCATTCACTTGTGGGACATTGCAGTGCACAAATTGGCTGCCACATTCACTACAGTCACTACACTTCACAGCATTTATATGACTTTTTGACATTATAGTCACTCTATCAAATTGAAGTATTGTTTTATTGTTGAGTTGTGGCTCTGTGGAAGCTGGAAGTGCCCTTCAGAAACTGCTTCTTGTTTTTGCATGAACAATAAACTTTTTTATTGTGTGTGATTGGAACAAGTGCTGATTGTCAGTACTTTAACACTGATTATCTTCAGTGAGTAATCAAAATATTCAATCATAGATCAGCATCCAGAAAAAATGAAAAATAACCACTGCTGAAAGCTGGGGAAGACATTAAGCAGACATAAGTGATACAGTAGAAGCCTTTTCATAAGAAGATAGACAGGGTCCATATAATTGCAACCCACCAATTAGCACTGACTCACTCACTACGTATGCACACAGAAAGCCTGCTAGTCTATCCACAACTGGTTCACAGGGCACCCTCCTTACAAATCAACCAACTTATAATGCCTTATAACTGCACCATGCTTACACATGACGTAGTGACTGACAGATCACAGAACATGATCTCTTCACTCACAGAAGCTGGGGTTCAATTGAAATTGATGAGATGAAAGCCTCTCTTTCCTCTGGCTGTACATGTCCTATGTGCAATATGTTGGAGGCATTGTGAGTCCAATTCTAGTGTGTACAATTACCCAGCCAAAAAAATAACCATAATTCAGTTTGAGATTAGCAACTCCCTCAAAGTGGCTTCCACAATGACTGATGTAGCAAATAAAATTCATATTGGTTCCGTAGGAAATGTTTTCTGGAGTTATGATTAAAGTACCCTGTTAAGGGAGATTTACATTAGGACTATGCGATCAGCGAGTATTTTACTTCACCATTGATGAACATAAAATTCACAAAGAAATAATTGTAAAGGCTGCACATCCATTATTAACATTTGCTCCTATATTAATGTTTTTTTGCTGTTAATAGCAACCTTCATTTGATGTAGCACCTTGCAGAGTCATTGAAATGTCTCTTAACACTTCGCAGGATTTTTTAGTGACTGTATTTTATAGTCAAACACAGCAGCCAATTTATGAACAGCAATGTCTAAGAAACAGACATAAACTGAATGACCATTTTTATCTGGGGGTGTATTGTATTTCCATCTCCTACCCTGAGAGACTAACTTCCTTGATGATCAACCTGATTATGACTCAGCACTTGCGGGAAGCAGTCCACAAGACCACTTCCTATTTTGATCAAACACTTCCTATTACCGAGGTTACATGCAGCTTTCTGTAAGGTACTATGTTTGAACCTGGATTTAGATTTAGCACTTGAATGAGCACACAATAGCACCTCAGCCATCAAATGCTTACTGCCCCCCAGCTATGAAATTTCATTTTGCAGAACTTCAGATAAAGGATTGTGTGCTGAAGAAGATTAGACAGAAGGTCATGCATGCAAGAGTTTCATTTATTCGCATCATTAGGTGTATCTGAGAACACTGACTTTGAAGCCTAATAGCTGGCTGAAATATACAAAAATGCATTTAATCCAAAATATTTCTTTCCCTTCTGACTACTAAGCAGGAGCATTGACTATCCCCCAATCTTTGCCTTTGTTACGCAACCTTCAGCAATCCTGCTGTTATGGACTACCAAGTAGACATTCAGCAACAGAGAACACCATTATATGCTCATGACATCCCCTAACATGTGAGAAAGTTATTGGTCTTCTTGTCAAACCTGCACACAGTGATTAATGACTATAGGCAGTTCTCAGGCTACAGAATTAAGTTAGATAAATCAGAGGCTATGTCTATTAATCCATCTATACCTGACAGTATTTGCTCTGGCTTTCCTTTTCAGTGAGCTAATAATAAAGGCTTTAAATATCCTGGAATAAACATCGCTCAGCATATGACAATCTTTAAAGGGCTACCTACCCTCTTCCTGTTGAAGAGTATCTAAGATGACATTTGCAACGATCCCTACCTTCCTTTCGTCCTGGCAAGTTTGTGCTAATGTGCTGAGCATAACTACCACAACAAAGATGTTGCTGTAGGTGTCTCTGCCGAGATCTTTCCCAGTCTGAACAAAACGTTTGCTGATAATCATACGATAGAATGTAAAGCCAAGAATCAGATGCAAATCAGTGTGGTGGGTAGGGACAAAGGTTAACTGTTACTTTTAAAAGAATTGTTAAGCATATAATGATAATAATAATAATCACCTTGCATTTGATATAGGGCCTTATCATGTCTTTGAGACATCACAAGGCGCTTCACAGAAGATACTGTAAAGTGAATTAACTGTATATGTTGTGGGCGAAACGTGGCAGCCAATTGCGCACAGTAATGTCCCACAAACAGCCGAGGATTGAGTGACCAATTATTTTTAAAAAAAATTGTTTTGAAGGGATTATTAACCCCAGAAAAGTGATCTGCTAATTGTCTAACAACCGGGTTCCTACTTACTGCTAAATAAACAGAGACGTGTGGAGTAAGAAAATTTGCCCAACATTTCGCCCTGCCTGGGAATCAAATCCAGGTTCTCTCATTTGTGAGGTGAGTGCTCTACCCACTAAGCTACAGGAGTCCACTGGAGGCAGTAAATGAATGTCTTCTAAGGAAGTAGACAACAAGTATGTAATGATTGTTAATTTTCCATTTGTCTATCTATATTAAAACTTGAGGGGTGTGTAGTCTATTTAAATGCTTTACGAAAGAGAAAATAGATATGACTTGGTCAAGCATGGAGTCTTTAAGGCCAGCACAGTGGACTCGATGTTGTGATGAGTGGGTGATCCGGAAGGATAAGATCAGAGGGGTTGAAATGCCTTCTTCAACTGAACTAATCTTGTTATGTTTGCTCCTTACTCCAATGTCCAATAAGGAAATTAAAGGAATTCTAGCTTCACAAAATACATTTTGTTAAACATTTTTTGTGCTTGTATAGAACGGTGCAAATCATTTCAAAATGCACTATTATGTACAAAGTCTTCCTAACAAAATAATTGCTCGCAACTTTACTCTATCCAAACAGAAAACAATTTATCAAACATTTATTTTCTCTTGAAGATGATTTTCCATTCTAGGTAAATAATAATAATAATAATCTTTGCATTTGAGCACCTAAAGCACAAAAAAAATCAAGATAAGTAAGAAATTAAGAACAGAGGCCAAA